CCCCCCCCCCCCCTTCTAGATTGTGTTCACAAGTGAGCGTCCTCATTATTCACTGGCATTATTTTCAAGTTTAATATGCACATGCTAAACTAAGGCTTGGCTCTAAGGCTTAGGAGGAATAAAAAGAAAGAAATGCATTATTTATCTCTGAACCTCTAGGAAATTTCTTTTGTTTAATCCCCCCAAGCCTTAAAATTAGCTGTCTCTACTGTACATATCAACACAGTCATTTAAAGTACAGAAGAGTTTCTTTGAGAGATATCACTTGAGGTTCAGTTCTATTCTGAGAAATGCCTTCAAATTTTCATCTGGAATTTCCTCAATGGCAGCTCTAGCAGCTCTGTCATCATTATAAAGTTTTAAGAGCTCTTCAGCATGTTGTATCATGACACAGTTTTGACATCCACTCATGCAACACAATTCCAGAGGGGTAGCGGGTGGTGTTACTGGTGGCTTCTTTTCAGTATCCACATCACTGAGGCTTTTTTCTGGCAATGGACCTCCAGAGTCTGTACCCATATATGTGATGCATACATGTATAAGACTAGTGTAGTAATTTGATTCTACCTCTACATTTATTTGTTTAATGAATGGTGATCAATTTACCCTAAATTTTTCAGATCATGTGTCTTATAGGGGGTGTCAACTGACGTCTTTATTGACATAATTATTGGTCGCTATATCTGTCAAGTGTCAGTCAAGAGTCGGTTGAGAGTCAGTCGATATATTGGCTGAGTGGCGTTTTACTATCAGTCAACAGGACTGCCGACAGTTAGTCATGAGAGCATTGGTTCTGCATTGGCAATGTATCGTTGAGCCATTTGCCAAGTATTGGTATCAGTTGTGTACCAGTCAACAACTGACAATGCCTGTAAAACTCTTTTTTTCCCAACTTCATCCCCAAGGCTTTTCCTTTTGTTACTAGGTACCTGTCAACTGACACACATGGACACTTTTTTGCTCATTACACATATCGGCTGTGGCTAATATCAGAGCATCAGTGAGGAGTTAGTGATCTGTCAGCAAAGTAACGACCAACTGTCAACTGACAGACTGTAGCGGCTGACACTTGACCGATACTCAACGGACGCACAACCAATAGAGTGACTGATATGTCAACGGACAGTCAACCAAGATGTCGGCTGTTACATCAGTCGACACCCACTACAAGACATATGGTCCAATTTTTCTTTTTTATTGCATGGATAGTGATTAGATATTAATTACATTGATATTGCCTGATGTTTATTACTATGAATACGATGTAACCTGTCATTAAAGTCATTAAAGTACCGTAGTTCAAAAGGTCTTTTGGTATATCTCTAATAGAATGATGAGACGGGTTTCTTAATTAAAGAGAGAAATTTTACTTGGACAGTCAAACAAATAAAATGGATATTTATTATTACCATCTAAAAGTGATGCCAAGTAGGTACCCATACTTATAAAGTAAGTACCCATACTTAATGATGCACAAGTCTCACATGCATAACCTGTGTGATGCTCTAATTTTGTGATAAATTGGAAAGTGTATATTTTGTGAGTACTAAAATTCTGAGTGCAATATTCACTTTGCAAATAAGATTTTGCTGATAAACAATGCAAATTATTTTGGGGAGTACAAAGTGCAGCAGCAATAAATTTTGCGATTTTCAATTTTTTATAGTAACAAAAATCTTATTAAATTTCTTTGCAACAAATAATGGTAGCCTTAGTGTCAAACTCACAAAACCATGAACACCTGAAACATTTCAGGAATGCTTGTAAAGTTGTAAACAAAATCACAAAAAAAGATCAGGACTGAATGCAAGCAAGCCACAAAACAAACTTATACATGCATGTATGACAATTTTTGTTAGGGGTTTAGTTTTCTCTTGCCTGGCTTAGCTTTTCCAAACATTTTAGAAAAGGTTGTTCCAGGCTGCAGTAAGATAATGGAGTGCAGACCAAAAAATAGTGGAACCCAAAAACAGGGAAGACTGAGAAGAATGGCGAAGAAACATTTGCTATTCTTTCCAGTCTCTTCCAGTTTTCAGTTTTTTTACCTGCGCTCCTCCCCAGGGGTGGTACCCTGGATTTCAAGTGACTGGGGATGATTGAATGAGGGGCTTTCAACAAAAGCCCCAAAAACCCCTGAACCAAAAATTAGGCTCCAAAAAAATCCCATGCCAAATTTCCCAGCCTTAAAAGTTCACAGAAAGCAAAACAACTTTGGTTGTACTTTAATGGCAGAACTACGTGGCCAGGATATGCAGACACCACCACGAATCTTCAGATTGTTTAGAATACCCAAAAAATTCCTCCTAAAATCAAGCCACCCAAAAAAGACAAATATTTTTCTACCTAAAAAGTCCTGCAAACAAAAATTTGAAACCCATAAAAATCCTTCGATCACCTCCATCATTTGAAATGCGGGTAACCCCCTGGGCACTCCGCTATCTGTGTGAATGCCTGGAACAGGCTAATTCCAGAAAATAATATTTCTGCATTCACAGTTTCCTGAGTTTCAGCATAAGGTACAAGAAAATTGTATAAACAAATAGTAGCACAAAGTATTTGACATCATAGGCCTGATGTTGCTACAAGGGAGCTACTTCTAATTTACATCACACGCATTCGCTCTATTCTGGAGTACGGCAGCCCAGTTTTTTATCGCACTCTACCAAGTTATCTAAGCCAAGACTTGGAAAGATTGCAAAAATGCGCCGTGAAGAATATTTACCCTGATTTATCATATTCTAAGGCTCTAGAACTGTCCAGACTTTTAACACTGTATGATAGAAGAGATGCAATTGCGGCAAAGTCGTTTAATGAAATATTACCCTGTGTATGTGCTAATCAATCTCACAGTCTCCACAAACTAATTGCAAGTAAATACCAGCCACGCTGCTCTCCGAGAGAACGAGAACATTTATTCGTCCAAAGTGTAAAACTGAAAGATGCAAGAATAGTTTTCTTTTAAGTTATGTTTACAGTAGTTGAGAACTATATACAATTTTGTTTCTTATTGTATATACCGATAGGAACTTGACGCATACTTTTGAATTTGTGATTTTATAACAGTTTAAAAATCGTTAACTATGTTGGATCATCTTTCTTTAATAATTATTTAGTTGTAAAGCACTTTAAGTAGTTGTAATTTAGTGCAGTTGTAAAATATTGCATTTGTAAACCTTATCACAATTCAGCTCTTGGCTGCAAGTTTGTTAGGTGAATAAACTATCTAGCTATATATCTGATCAGGTTTAGTTATATGAACTAGATCAGCATTAGTATTCAAGACTAAAAGTAAAGTAGACTGTAAATAGCTTACTTTCTTCGGTGGTTCTCTTGTGTGAAACAGAAATGAAGGGAATGCCCTGTCAGTGAATAAAAACTAAATGTTTAAATATGGAAATTAAAGCAATATTTACCGTAGGAAAATAACCCTACAGGGTATCAAAGATGATGAAGCTATCAATGTTAATGTTAATTGTAAGGTCATTTGAAGAGGGACCCAGTGGAAAGGTACAGTTGGCTTCTGGATTCTCCTTGCAATAATTTTTTTATTTGCTTTGTGTTTCCTTATTTAATACCGTATGGTATTTATTCAGGCCTTCATTCTTCTCTTAATCTTTTCAAATTTCTTGCATTCTTCATAACTAAGCATGATAAANATAACCCTACAGGGTATCAAAGATGATGAAGCTATCAATGTTAATGTTAATTGTAAGGTCATTTGAAGAGGGACCCAGTGGAAAGGTACAGTTGGCTTCTGGATTCTCCTTGCAATAATTTTTTTATTTGCTTTGTGTTTCCTTATTTAATACCGTATGGTATTTATTCAGGCCTTCATTCTTCTCTTAATCTTTTCAAATTTCTTGCATTCTTCATAACTAAGCATGATAAACCTTAATATAAACCAATACCGGTATTTTAATTTTACTCTCCATTATTCAAGCATCGCTAGAACTGAAAGAGAGCTTCCCAAATGATCTGTCAGCTGACTGTCAACAGCATTAATGTCTTTTGATTTTGATTAAATCAGGGCGGCAGCACTTATGCAGGGGTGGCACTTATCAAATGTTTTGTCCCAAATGCTGGGCTTATGCATGGCTCAATTTGACCTGTTACCATCCCACCCCCCCTCTGGCAACCCCCAAGAAAAGTCCAGCCCTTTGGGCCCGGGGTGGGGAATTGTTTGAAGCAGTCCTGTCCTAGGGGTATGAGGGTGGGGCAAATCAAAAATAACTTCTCTTTGATGTTGCATATTACGTGTTATTTCTCACACGGTTTGTACAAAGCTGTGCAACTCAAGACCACATATTTTAAGGGAAAAATGCCAAAGAGTGGTTGGAGAGGAATAAACAATCAAGATAAAAGTCTGTATTTCCAGGTCTATTTTAAAATCTAAAATGAATGTGCATATGGTACGTACTTGAATAGCCGGCAAAAACAGCCATTTTTCCTCACTCCTGGCCACTTGGGACGTTTCGCCAGGAGAGATGTCTGCGTTTCAGTGACAAAAATTCCATACTGATGATATAAAATCTGTCCAGAATCTGGTCAGGGGCTCTGATTGGTCAACGTAGTCGTTGTATTGTTTTAGCTATTGTTTATGAAGGATAGACAAAAGGCCACAAAGGTAAAATCTAAATGCAATGAATCTGTAACAAAACAGTCAATATTCATGGAATATATTCTCGCTAAAAGAAGCATTTGAGTTCTGTTTGAGCTCATTCGCAGATGAATACAGATGAAAGCTGTAGTTAGCATGTACCAGCCCAAAAGTTATTTTAACTAGCCTGATGATGAGCAGGGTTGATAACAGTTCTTTTGCGATTAGAAATCATTAAGTCGACCCCCTGTTTTGTTTGGAGTTTTCTAAGCATAACTGGGCTACGATCTCAGAGACAATTTGCCCCGAAATGCTCATTTTTGGCAAGTACGCCTCTTGGACATTTTTCTTTCAGAATATCCTGACAAATCCCATAATTTCAGAAATTTCATTTTTATGACGTCATCACTTTAGTACCAAGAACGAGAAGTCCAAAGACTACTGCAAAGCTGATTTAAAACAACGTGTATTGTTTTTTATAACAATATTTTGGCTGGCCATACCAGCCTTCTTCAGGTTTACAGATGTTACTGAACTTATGTAGCAATCACAATATTATAGAGATGGCGAATGTCGCAATAAAAGGAAGGGGCGGTAATGACATACAACATAAAAACTGGAAAGGAAAAATACTAAGGATATGGAATACAATAATTTGTCACGGCGGTTTTGGCCATGAGGTTCAAGAGTCATGGCCTTATCTATCAAATGCGACTCCCTGGCCTTACGAACTGAGTCACAAGAAGAATGAATTTTCTCTAGTGGGATTAACTGCATGTCAGTATGAGAATGGTTAGAGTGAGAGAGAAAGTGTTCAGAAAGAGTAGTGGGTTTAGATTTAATGTTAGTTTTGTCGACTACACATCTGTGTTCGTTAAATCTCTCCTTGAGACGTCGCTTAGTTTCACCTATATACTGTAAATTACAATGGTTACATTGAACCATATAGATCGCATTTTTAGTGTTACAAGTAATATGTGAAGTGATGGAGCGTGTTTCACCTGTAGGGTAAAAGTATAACTTGTGAGGCCGTTAGTAATGTATGGACAAGTGGCACAATTCTGCCCACAACGGAAGGAGCCTGGTGGAAAATGATTGGTGGAGATAACGGGTAGTTGTGCTTTAACTAAAAGGTCACGAAGATTAGAGCTACGTCTATAAGTAACAAAAGGTGGTTGCTTAAAGACGTCTTTGCAACGGTTAGAGGAGTGTAAGATGTTAAAATGTTTGCGTAGGAGATCCAACGTTTACAACTAGTAGGATCTTCGTAAAAAAATTGCATTATCATGGTAATCCTGCTACATCAATGGTTAGATGAACAGCTTTTGTTTGCAAAGCATCTAAATTGAAGCTTCATATGGTAGTTGGTCCAACA